TGTGCCCTATAGAAAATTAAATAATAATAATTAATAAAATTAAACAAATAATTATTTTGTAAAAAAGCAGTTTCTATTGCCTGTTTTTTTTTTAATCTTTCTCCTTGTAGGTCATACTTTCCTATTTCTTTGCATGTCTCAAAATTAGTTGACAAGTGAATTTAAGATAAATGGTATAGCAGTTCTGTATACTGATCTCCCTCTCTGGGGAACTGATGTAGCTATTGTTTGGTTTATCTGTTTGTTTACTGACTTGACTGAACCAACTCTGTTAAGTCTATTTCTCATGCGGTGTGCAGCCTCAGATATCCTTGCTCAGATTTTTTTCTTGACTTTAATATTTTTTATAAAGAATTATTTAACTTTATTTATTCATTCATTTAAATTTGACCGGAGTGAGACAGAGAGAGAGAAAGGGAAAGTAAGAAAGCAAGCTGCCAGGTCCAGGATTCAAACTATGGCCAGTCATGTGGGAGTTCAGTGCCCTTAACCGCCACGCCACTTGCTGGTTCCTGACTTTAATCTTTTACATGGCAACCTAGGGTTCATCCCTGGTTCAGTATAGGTCACTTATTGGTTAAAGGTTGTGCTTAAGCCCCCTTAGCCAGTTAAAAGTTTTACCCTTTAACACTGGATGTATGTGTAGCTGTGAGGCTGCTATCAAAGTTAAAAGGGTTTGTGTTTCTGTTCCACATTTAGACAGGTACCAATAGACTGGATTTTCCCTATTCAATCACCTGAGATAGCATAACCCTGAGCATGCAAACAGTCTTCCAGATTTACAGGGATGTGTGTGACTTTATTTTTAAGTCTGATTTCCGAGGAATTATCCCTGGGTCAGAGTAGCTTGGAACTTTGGGATCTTGTTTTTTTTGTTTTGTTTTGTTTTTTTTCTTTTCTTTTTTTTTTTGGGGGGGGGAGATTTTCAGTATAGGGCACGTGCGCTCGCCAGACAGGCAGAGAGAGACATAGAGACAGAAAGCGAGAAATCACCCCCCAGGGGGGATGGTCACGCCTCAATCCCTTCTCCTCCATTCTCCTCTCGGGATTTTGGGCACGCACGCACACACGCCTGGCGTGAGTTTTAAGCCACCGGGTCCAGGATGCGAACCGCAGTCGACTACGTGGGAGTCCAGCAACATAGCCATTACGCTAACTGCTGGTTCCCGGAACTTTGGGATCATTTTTAAGTCTAGCTTATGCCTTGCTCTGATTGCTTCTTAGTGGGTACAACTTTGTGCTTAAGCAGTCTTCTCAACAGTCAGGATTGACTCTGATTCCAGGAAGGTCCTTCTTAACTGTCCTTCCCTAATTATGTTACCAAATTTCTGATGGTGTATTTTGCTTGTTGTAAATTGTATCATGGTTATAAGTGTCCTCTTAATCATTCTCCACCAACCTCTCCGTTATTTTTTGACAATGCCCTTGGGCAAGAATTCTCCATGCTCTTTTCCTCATAAAGTCAGTTCCTTCATTACTGCTGTGGAGTTCTTAATCCTTGCCAAAGTAGAACCTCTGCAATAGTGACAAGAGCTGGAGACAGGGAAGTGGCCTATTTCTCCCAGAATAAAATCCCTTCTTTATGAATGGTTTTGGAGGTAGTTTATGGCTTACTCCTTCAAGTACAAACCTCTGATCTATGAGCAAGCTGGGCTGCAGCAACAGTGGTCTACTATTGTCAGCCTGCTGTGTCTGGATATGCTTCCAGCCTAGAGCAGGGGCTAGGTAAGAGAAGAGAAACCTGAGTGGAAGAAGAGATCCAGTTCTTTTGGGTCTGCCTGGAATAGAGCTTTTATAAGAGAACTGGTGGAGATAAGGAAATCTGGATGCCTATCCTCCTGGGTAAAACCGTATCTCCAGAGTGGGGCTAGTAGAAGATGCCCCCATCTTCCTGACCACATCCACCTGGATTGCAGCGTCCTTGAATGGTTTTCATAAAACAGAGTTTGGAGGAGGCCAGGAGCAGGTCACAGTTCAAATGCCACTGACTCTTGTTGTTTTTTCTGAGATTTAGTAGACTTTCTTGAATGAATATTTCTCTATTTGCTTTATGCCCCATTTCCAGAAACTAAATTTTTTTAAATAATATTTTTTCAAGTTAAACAACTGTTTGTTGGTGATAAAATCTACTGTGTTCCTCATTTCTCCATTCTGTAAGTTATTCTCCCAAGTCATATTTTTCTATGTTAGTTCTGGCCCATTTTTAATCAATCTTACACATTTGAAATATTGTTCTAATTCTACTCCTTGTCTGCTATATCAAAAATTCCTGCAAACATGTTAGAATAGCTCTCCTTGCTTCCCACTATTATAGTGTATTCAGAGTTGTGGGGGAGGTTATCCTTTTAAAAAAGGAGTAAATTCTATTTTGACATGTAGCTTACTCACAATATCTAAATATGTAATAAACTGCAGCCACTAATTCTTGTATTTGATCTTAGATTTAGATCTTAGTTTGTACCACTCATAAAGTAGCTAGCATAAACTGGGGGCACTTATATATAAAACTTTGAATAAGCTCCTTCATCTTTGATCCTATCACTATCCTAGAACCTACTTTTCATATAGTAATCACTCAAATATATGTAGCATAAATGAACAAGAAAGGATTATTTCCTTTAACAGAAATAAGCTATCTCCCTCTAAAAGGTTATGGCTCCTTACTGGCTGAACCCATTCTCATTGCAGGTTATCTTCTCCCCTTGCTAGAGCTGTGAAACTCACAAAGCTGTTTTCAATGATATCTCTTGAGCCCTTGTTAACCTTCCCCACTAGAACTTCATCAAGTTCTCTTGGATAGTGTAGAATTTATTTTATCTAGAGTTAGTAAGTTGAACTACATAATCTAAGGAATCTATCAGCTTCAGGTTTTGGTAATAACAAAGAAGACCTTTGTTACTCTTGATTAAATCTATTACTCCATTAACACTAAATTACTAAACTTTTTTTTTTTTTTGCCAGAGGGCACGTGCACTCCCAGACAGGGGAGAAAGTACCTCCCAATGGAGTGTGGTCATGCCCGAATCCTTTCCCCCTTCTCCATTATGTCAGGGTTTTGGGTAAACACAAACATGCCTGGTGTTCTTTTTTTGTTTTTGTTTTTGGTAGGTATAGCAAAGTGGGCCTGGTGTATCTTCAAGCTGCCAGGTCCAGGATTTGAACCATGTGACTGGCCATGTGGGATCTGGCTCCCTTAACCACTAAACCATGGGGCCAGCCCGGTATTTTACTAAACTCTTGAGCACCTCTGTTTCCCCCATAAAAAGATTGATTCTTTCTGAATCAATTTGAATCCCTCTATATATGTAGCTCAAAATGGTACAGTCCTCATTTACAATCATCATATAAAACATGTATGATACCAGTAGCATAATTATCATGTATTGTTTATCACATATGTTTTTCTCTTGAAAGAGTCTTATTCTGAAATTATAATTACAAACAAACGGCCGAGGTACTTTACCTGTTCTCTACGGGAAAAATCTCACTCTGAGTATAGCATTCCATAAAGACTCATATAAAAATCCCAACAAAGACTGACGAAGTATGCCACCCAATGGATATGTTGCTGTAGTGCACTCCTAGGATAAGTACATAAGTCAACATTTGTGACTCCCTTGAGGTTACCAAATACTACTACAAAGTTACAAGAGAAATACTGGGGAAAAAAAAGGAAAGCTGTCACAATAGGGAAAAGAAAGCCTTCAAAAGCAATGACATCTGATACTCCAGCAGCAATAGTGATATATGAACATCTCCAGGAAACCAAGGTAGACCACGCTTCAAAAACACATAGCATTTATTGTGTACCTCTCCCAACTTACAGAGTTGGAAAAATATAGAATAGGAACAGGTTATAATTAGGCTCGAGCTCCTGAGTCTATGGCTGGATTTGTTTCCCACCCACTTGCTAAATATTCAATCCTAGAAAATGAATTCATTAAAACTAGTAAGTTTTGCTTCTAAAAGCTTACTTCCTCTTGAGACTTTTTGTTTATGTTCAGGAGATCATGGGATGTTTTCAATATCCACAGGGCTTAATAGTGGAAGAATTGCTGAATAGAGAACTTGCACACCTGTAGAGATGGTTATCTAGATGAGAGGCTGAAAAAGACCCATCTAAGCAAGAAGCAGGGGAAGATCAGTAACACTGGGGCAAAAACAAACCAGGAATCATTGTACCCAGTAGTCCATTGCCTCTGGCCTATATGTTAAGACATCAAAATTGAAAAGGATCAGTGAAAAGGTCACATCCAATTAAATAATAATCACATTATTAATGACTATTGATGTTTCTATTATTAGAGAGAGACTCTGTGCCCGCCTTATGGCTTGGCCCTGCCAGAGTGAGCAGCACAGTATAAAGTAAAAAAGCAAAGAGTCATAACCATGAGTACTTAGTCCCATGGCAGTACAGAGTCAGTCATATCCTTTGTGATTTAAATACTCCTGATGTTGAGGAACAAGAGTAGTTATGATCCTTTCCATCAAGAAGACTAACAAAACAACACTGGTGAGGTGGTAGAATATGAATAAATAAAGCCCAAGACTAAATTTACATTAATAATTTACTCTAGGAAACAATGAACAATAAGGTTTACCTAACAGCACAAACTTCTAATAGTTATTTTTGTATGTGGACAACATTTGCTAGATCCCAGAAGACTTCAATATTCATAAACTTAAGATAGGAACAACACATACCTATATAACCTCATTTTATTTGTATAGCACATTATGTTTTTCAAAGTCTTATCATAGCCATTATTTCACTTGCATAATTCCCAACATAAAGTAAATATATAATACATAAAAGCATATCAGCAAATGATCACATCAAAAAATATAGATTTAGCACAGTAGTTGTAAATGTGTTTCTCCCTCTGAATTCTATGCTAAGCCTTAGGAACAATATAAACATGACAAAATGTACCAACTTACTCTACATGAAAATAGACCCTGAGGCTTATTAGTGACATGAGATTATGTTTCCTACTCACCTGGAAAACTGAAAAACACTGGAATCCAGAGGTTTAAGTTGAAGAGAAGGTGATTTGCTTTCTTCTCCCACAGATGGAAGCAGGCTAGGGCTATCAATTCTCTCATATCCAACTGTCTGGTTATTCAGTCCATCCATATCTTGAACAGTAAAGATTTTCAATGAATTACTGAATACCTAGCAAACAAAGAAAATGATTCATAAAAATCACAAATTCAAACCAAGTACCAAAGAATGAGTCAATCCTTCTGATGCTAGGAAAGAATGCTTGGCCAAATAAAAAGAAACTGTTTCCTACACAAAACAAACAGCGCACAGTAATGTACACTAGAACACTGAACCCAGGTATGTTCAGTTATCAGTCTTATCAACTGGATACCCACAGACCTCCCCCAACTTACTTACTGGTTCCTAGAGTTATTCCACTCATAACATAAATTCAGGTCCCCTAATAACTGTCTAATTTTCTCTTGTGACCCTGTTTAAGGCTTGGTTTTCACTCTTGTGAGATCTGTAATGAGGGTAGGAGTTGGGGAAAAGCATTTTAGCAAATGTCTGTGCCAGTTGGGGAGAAACGCATGCAAGATACTAATATATACTCATAGTGCACACACACAGAGACATGCATCTGGGATCTTGTGAGAGTACCAACTTATGAAGATTGTATGAATGATGATGGTGAAGGACTATAAAGGGGAGGTAAACTGAATGAGGACAGGGCAGTCCTAGGAAATGTCCCAAACTCTACATCAGACTATTAGTCATTACATTAGGATATTCATGTGCCTGTGGCTTGGCAGGATATCAGAAAAATTGATGTTAAATTGCCTCTATCCTCACCAGTCTGACCTACCCTGATTTGAGTTGGATGGAAGGTGAATCTAACATGCGACTAGCAGAACTCTCTGGGAAATAAAGTCAAGAAGGAACTCATGCAGAAAGACAAGATGGGTGGGGGAAAATATATGGGTGCTATGGTGGCTGTCAGGAAAGGAATGTCCCTGAAAGGACGGCCAACCTTATTGCACCCTTCAGCGTCCGGAGTTGGGCAACCATGTCCGAGAGACAGTGCTCCTGAAAATTCAAAACAGCAGAGTCTTTATAAAGCCAGCCAGCTGAAAGCAGGGATCAGGGAGGGGCACAAAGAATCACCCCTTCTTCCTAAGAGGAAGGAGGAAGGAATCACCCCTGAATCCTGGAAGAAAGACGACCAGAAAACCAAACACTCAACAGGAGCAGCCTGTATGAGGATGGAACAAAACCCTGAATATTCTGTGACACTGAATGTGACATTCACACTGTCAGAGTCAATACTGAGTTCGAATCTGGGAAATAAATTATTTGACTCTTCTATTTCTGGTGATCTGCACATTAGTAACAGGAAATCATAACAAAACCAAAAGATCCAATGAGAAAAAGACCACCAGAAGGAAGGTTTATTATTTTTACACAGTTTTCAAGATTGCTGCTTTCTTCAATTTTCCCCTTCTGATGGGGAAAATTTTGTGTGAGTAAAGTAAGGGGATGGACTCTCACCTGATGGTTCTCATTTTTCATAGCAATCTTCTTCTCAACAGTTTGATCTCTAGGAGAAGAAAAAAATGCTATTTAGTTCACTCATGAAATATCTCAGTTTGAAATGGATTATTACTTGTAGATTTAGATTACAATGTTCCTTCCAAATTAGAAGATGGGTGATCCTCAATTAGTAACTAAAGGTGCCTTTTGAATTATGCTACTGAAGAGATTTCAAACAACCAATAAAAGGAGAGAGGGGAAAAAGGGAAGAAGGAAAATAGATAAGAGATAGGGAGGAAGACTAAAGACTATCACTAGTTGAGAAATTCTAGAGGTAGAATAGTTAGAAGGAATAAAGAATTGGGAAAGTAGAGAGGTGAGGAGGAAAATTTCTAAGAACCCCCCCTCCCCAATTTATCTTTCTCCTTAAAACTCTTCTGTCTTCTCAGGAAGGGTTAGGCTCCTCTATGATGTTGAATACCTTCTCATGTATACTCAACTGTTTCTTAGCTTTGCTCAAATACAGGTCTTCATCAATAAGTTCTTGTTCCTCTGGAACAGAGCACCTCCTGCCATATAGAGAAGAAAATCATCTTTTAGAAGCAAAATATATCCTTCACATGTACCTCTTAGTTTTCTTAACTATGACAAGGCAGGTTAACAATCCTCTAATGTTATAGAGTGTTCAGATTCCAGCCACATTACAAAAGCTTGCTCTATCTAGAGCATGAGTAAGAAAATTTTAGAAGTATAACTGAAAATTTATTCAATGGTCAAAAGAAATCCTAGAAACAAAGAAAAATTAATAATAACTGAAAACTAAATTATACACATTTTATAAGGTGGTAAAAGTATTCTTGAAGGCTACCTCCTATACTAAGTATAACCAGGAAATAAAGTGTTAAAAATTAGAATGTTAAGTACTCAGTCCCATATTCTTATCACATAATCCCATTTCCTCTCCATAGAAAGGTGTTTAGACACATTTCAAGACTATGAGGGAATGTTACATATTACAGATCTAGACTTCACTTATTTAATTTATTCCATTTTAGGCATTTTACCTAAAAAGCATACTGTTGTTGCAACTTTTAGCATTTAGTTGCATTTAGCCAGTAAAAACAATCTTAAAGTCCCAGTTGAGCCAGCAGGTGACGTGGAGGTTAAGATACTGGATTCCACACGTCTGACTATGTAGTTAGAGTCCTACACCCAGTGGCTTGAAAAACACGCCAGGTGTGTGTGCATGCAGGCCCTAAATCCTGAGCACCTGGGAGGAGAATGGAGGAGAAGGGATTGCAGTATGGCTATCCCCTTTTGGCAGAGTGGGTGTGATATCTCACTTTCCTTCTCTCTCTGTATCTCTCCAGTGAGCACATGTGCCATATAGCAAAAAGAAAAAAAAAGTCACAACTAAATTGAAGCAAAGTGACTTATTATTATGAACATATGTTACCACTGAGTCAAATAAAAATTTGTTAAATTGAAGTTAATATGCATAGATATGCCGGGCACTATTTAGATGAATGCTGCAAAGAACATATGGTACTTTGGAAGACATATGGAAGATAAACATTTAAACAAACAGCACTGATGTTACAAATGGTACTCTAACATTGATTTCACGTAGGAGGGATATAAAGCAAATCATCAGCTCAATCCGGACTATAAAGATTGTAAACTTGAAAGAGTTTACAATCTCTTGAAGAGTCAAAGCATACACATATGAAAAACAGCCAAAGAAATATAAAATAATATTTTGTGAACAAATGTTAAGAATTAAATACCAGGGGTCAAACAGTGGTGCAGTGGTAAAACAAGCTGACCTACGTGGGCAATGTCTTGTTCTTATCTTGGACCCTTCTGAATATACCGGCTAGCTGAAACTGGCATAAAGATCCTGGAGGGGATGCCTGTCTGTCTCTCTTTCTCTCTCACTCTCATGGTAAGGAATAAACTTAAAAAAAGAGAATCAAATATCATAGGAAATCAGACTAAAATCACTACAAAATATTGCCAAGAGGAAAGTATCACACAAAGACATAAGCTCCCCAGATAGGGTTTGGATGGAATAGAGAAGGCCACTGCAAACAAGAGGACTGACACTATCAGAGTCATGGAGGAGAAAGAAAGTATGGCATATGTGGCGAACAGTGAAGCCACAGACCTGGCTAAAGTGTAGAGTTTGTGTTAAGATACAATGAAAAATATCGTTGGATAGGTAAAGTGGAGCCAATTACCTGAGGGGTTTGAATGCCAGGCTGAAGAGTACAGACTTGAGATGAAAAGTATTTTAGAATATACAGACAAATCAGGAATCATTTCAGGGATAATACCAAGCCATGGAACCTTACCTGTACTTTGGATGAGAGTTATAGTAACAAAACCATCTTATAGGTAGCGTAGATGGATCAACTTTGCCAGGAAGCTTCCTCCACTTGAGACACTCATCACACTGTACCCATGTCTGGTCAGGAATCTTCCTGAAGAAAGGCAAAACTGAAATGTTAACTATATATTCCAGCTCTGTGCTTAGTCCTAATTAGAAAGGCACACCCTATAAGTGAAAGAACCTATTTTATATATGAAAAGTGTTAGAAATGTTACAATCTAGCTGTCTAAAATGTATTTTTTTAGAGATTTTTGCTATAGGGTGCATGCACTTGCCAGAAAGACAGAGACATAGAGATAGAAAGTGAGAAATCACCCGCAGGTGGGATGGCCACGCCACAATCCCTTCTCCTCTATTCTCCTCTCGGGATCTTGGGCATGCACACACATGCAGCCGGCTTGAGTTTAAGCCACTGGGTCCGGAGCTTGAACCTCGGTCTACCACACGGGAGTCCAGCAACATAGCCATTATGCCAACTGCTGGTCCCTAAAATGTATATATTTTAACTTTACATATTAAATAATAATTGAACAAAACCAGACAGGGATATAAATAATAGTAGCAAGTACTAAGTAGGGAGTAAGCTTCCATTATTTATGGAAGTCAATAATATTCATTATGAAATCTCTCCTTCTATCATTTCAACTCTGAAATTTATTAACTTGGAAGAAAATTTTTTTTTCTTTTTTGGGAGAGGTTTTTGCTATAGGACATATGCGCCCATCAGGGGGATGGCCACACTGCAATCCCTTCTCCTCCATTCTCCTCTCAGGATCTTGGGCATGCATGCACACACACCCAGCGTGAGTTTAAGCCACCGGGTCCAGGACTCAAACCAAGGTCGACTATGTGGGAGTCCAGCGACATAGCCATTACACTAACTGCTGGTCCCGGAAGAAATGTTTTATATATATATTACAATATTACCAGGAGCTAAAATCCATAGAATCATTTTATTTGCTTCTGTTTGATCACATTAAAGAGGTTTAATATGTATTTATGGAAGTCGCTGAGACACTGTCATCAAAACACCTCTCCTATTTCCGTGCAGGGACTCCCTATGACTCTTTTTGATTCCTTTCAAAAAATCCATTTTGGGGGCTAGCAGGTGGCATACTGGTTGTGGCTAAACTTTCATATGGCTGACAACGGTTTGAGTCCTGAACCTGACAGCTTGAAACTCACGCTAGCCATGTGTTCATGTCCAAAATCCCAAGAGGAGAACGGAGAAGGGATTCCAGCATGATCATTCCCCCTGGGGGTGATTTCTCACTTTCTCTCTCTATCTCTGACTTTTGTGAGTGTACACACCTTAAAGCAAAAATCTCTCTCTAAAAAAATAATGATAATAAATAAAATTATAAAAAAATTTCATCTATAATGATTTAATCAACAATTTATTTGGTTGATATTCTTAAAATTAATCTTAAAAAATAAAAATAAATTTGATTAAATTTCAGAATTAAGATATGGTGTCTCCTGACTAACAATTAAGTCAAATTTTAAAGATAAAACTCTTACAGAATTCAAGTCTTTAAATGCATATCTACTCCCACTCTTCCAGAAAGGTCAACAGTTATCTATACCTCAGAATGAATTTGTTTCTCTGTGAAAAGAGAAGTATCATAGAAGCAGTCAGTCCATAAGGTGTGAACAACAGGCTGGAGAATAGAAAAGAGGAAATAGGGCTCCTCAGGCCCATTTCACCAACATGTAATTTAGCCTAGGGTAGGTTTTGTGTATGTTAACATTTATATTGCTCTTATACTAGATATTTCTATATTTCAAGAGAGTGATATGAGTTTTTCTTTGTCTTAGTTCAATAATTTTCTTATCTTAAATAGTGTTTTCTAGTTATTAAAATAATATAAGCTAATTGCCAAAAAGCTGGAAAACACAGAAAGATATAAAGAAGAAAATAAAAGGCACTTATAATTTTATCTCTCAAATACAATATCCTATTTTTTGTTAAAACAGAGTTTGTGGGACCAGCAGATGGCATAATGGTTACATCACTGGACTCCCACGTAGTCGATCGCAGTTCGAGTCCTGGACCCAGCAGCTTCAAACTCACAGTGGGTGCATGTGCATGTGCGTATGTGCCCAAGATCCCAAGAGGAGAAAGAAGGAGAAGGGACTGCACTGCAGCAATCCCCACTGGGGGGTGATTTCCAGTTTTCTGTCTCTCTGTCAAGTACACATGTCCTATAGCAAAAATTTCTCTCTAAAATAAAAAAAAAAGAAAGAAAGAAAAGAAAAAAGAAAAAAATATCAGAGTTTGTACACATTTTTGGATCTATCTATAGTTGCCCATCTAGATCCAGGCTGCTTCAGTCTTGTAAACCTCAAGCTCTAAGCTCAGGTCTGACCTCTGGTGTTTGTATTTCCAGACAGCTATTTTTTTATTTAGAGCCAGAGCCAGCAAAACACAGGTTCACCAGCAGTGGGAGGGGAAAGAAAAGGTCACAGTAGCTTTGGTTCTATATGCATATGCACAGGAGACTCTCTAGCACAAACATGCCAGTATTACTCTTATTAAGGAGAAGCACACTTAGAGGCAGCAACCTTCTGCTTTGGCTTAAATGTAGATCATGACAGATCCTTTATTCCAGGCAGATAAGAGATGCAGGAAGATAGGAGAGGCATTTAGCTGGTACATGCAGTAGATAGGTACTAGAGGAGGCTATGCTATATTCCCTTCAATGTATCTCTCCAGAAAAGTACAGTATATGAAACTGGTAATGGAAAATTATTGAAGATAACATGCATGATTAAGCCACTATGCAGTATATTCTGGATGGGAAATCACATTTTGTATGCTGTGACAATGCTTAGGGAATGAATGTAAATTAATTAATTAAAAAAGTTTCAGAAAAAAAAGCTCATGGAAACATGTGTAATGGAAAAACTATGAATTTCAAAAAGTTTTTATAAAAAAAAGAAAAGAAAAAAAGAAAAAAAAAAGACACACACGCGCACACACACACACACACACACACACACACACAAAGAACTTAGGTATAGAAATCTGACTGCCTAAATTTAACACCTTGGTCCTACCACCTTCTACTTGCTTAACCTTGGGCAAGTTACTTAACTCCTCAGTGTACCAGTATCTATATCTATACAGAAGTAATAATAGTATCTATCTCATAGGGCTGTTGTCATGGTTAAATAAATCACTACATGTAAAAAAACTTAGAACAGAGTCTGGAACCTAAGTAATCACTCAATAAATATCTGTTATGACAATTCTGTCTTTAGCAAACACAAACACCTGTTTCACTGTATTAATCATTGCTAATTCAAAAGGCCACAAAATGGCATCTCATCTTAATTTATAGTTCTTTGAAAATCATGATAGATATGAGCTAACGACTTTAGAATAAGATGACATAAATATATAGCCAACAGGTTGCCTTTGAAGCAAAATTTTAAGTGATACCTTTGTTGATTTTCATTTAAAAAAAGATATCTACTCCAAAATTAACTTTTAATACTCTAATTTTGTCTTGATGGTGGTATAACTGACTCATGTGTGTTACTATGCATTCTATCCTCTGTATAATGCTTCTTTCCTGACCTAAGGTATTTATCCTGTTCTCTGTGTAATTCCTTATCTTAGATTTATGATTAAGTTCTACATTTTCTCTAATAAATTGGGTTCTCTATTTCTATTATAAAATACTGGTACAATCTCAACAATATTCATTAGGAATAAAGAAAAGGAAGTCTGCTAGCAGACTCACACACCGACTATATGCCAGGCACTGTGTTAAAAATGTTATACCGTTAAATTATATCATTTTAATATACTCAGAGAGGAATTATCTGTTGATGATAATGTGTGTGGTAATATCTTTGACTGGACCAATATGTAGTATATTCATGTTGGAAAAGTCCATTTTGTATGTTTTAGAGATGTAAAGTAATTAAATGTTAAAAAAAAAACAGAAAAAGAAAAAATATAAATATACTCAGAGAGTTAAAGTGACTCACTCAAGCTCACACAACTATGAAAAGGCTGACCCAGATGTTCAACCCAGGAGTGTTCAATCTAAATAACCAATCTTCTACGCTATCACACTGACTATATTAAATTGAGAATACTATACTCTTCAAATTTTTAAAAAGAATTATTTATTTATTTAATCCCATTTATTAATATTATTTTTTAATTTCACCAGAGAGAGAGAACGGGAAAGGAAGAAAGCAAACTGCCAGGTTTGGAACTTGAACCACAGTCAGCCATGTGGGAATCCAGTGCCCTTAACCACCATGCCACCTGCCGGCCCTATACTCTTCACATTTATGATCGAAATCACAATAATGTTAAACAAGATGAAGAAGTTTATAGATTGATGCAGGTAATACCTATTTCCTATTTTAGGAAAATAGGTAAACTTGTTTGTTTTTTAGGATTTTTCCATAGGATATCTACGCTTACCAGAGAGAGACAGAAGAGGGACAGTGAGAATCACCCTCCAAGAGAGATGGCCATATTGCAATCCCTTCTCCTTCATTCTCCTCTCAGGATTTTAGGCATGCATGCATACATGCCCCGCGTGATTTTCAAGCCACTGGGTCCGGGACTCCAATCTAGGTTGGCCATGTGGGAGTTCAACAGCTTAACCAACACACCACCTGCTGACCTCTAGTTAATTAAACTTGTGTGATGTGAAAAGCACCATTTTACCTCTGTTCCTTCCATTTGATCTATGGACATTACCTCTTAATGCTTTCATATTCTTTATCTATTACTCACAGTATTGGTCTGGCTATAGCTGAGGTCTCAAAATTCTCTTGAGATGTCTTTTCCTTCCAATAAGCATTGAGCTTCTGGGCAAGTGCATTTATTGTCAACCTAAAAGAAAGTACAAGAAGTATGTCAAGGTTCAGCATTTATTGAATAATTTTTCTATCTTTGAGAATCTTATTTAACATAAGCCAACAATTTAGAATATTCAGCATAGTTTTGAACATTTATATTTTTAAAAAAACTAAGCTGAGAATCTACTGTGCCTTTGTAAACTACTTGTCAAAATTACGAAGTCATAACATTTTGGTTGAAAGGTAAAATGGTCGCAAATTCTGAAAAGTAGATTTCTACAAATTTTCAGGATTGTAGAATGGACAGGGTAAGTGGACATTATAGACTATGACAGAGAAAAAATTATAGAACAAGGACAGAGCCAAATACTGATAAGCTGATGGAGAGTTGTTTGATTGTCAGATGACTATAGGCAAATAATTCAGGCCTAAGTTCAAAATCAGAGGATCAACTGTTATACCCTATGTATTATATATCAATCAAATATTAACTTCAATATGACTACATAATTATTCTCATAGCAGTTATAACATCAACGGGTAATAAGTTCCCTTCAACATTCTCCTATATAGTGGCTGGCTATTGCTGACTATAGATGAGTTCTGGCTCTTGCTTTTTCCTTGATCTCTCTTCCCAAGTGAATAACAGTACACCCAGGATAAAGAACAAGTGGAATTTTTTTTGAGAGATTTTTGTTATAAGGCATGTGCACTCACTGGAGAAAGAGAAAACAAGAAATCATCTCCCAGGAGGATGGCCATGCAGCAATTCCTTTTCCTCCACTCTCCTCTTGGGATTCTAGGCATCCATGCACATGTGTTTGAAGTGAGTTTCAAGTTACCAGGTCTGGGACTAGAACTGCAGTTGGCCACATGGGAATCCAGCACCTTAAACACTACACCACCTGCTGGTCCCAATTTTTTTTTTCTGGTCCCAATTTTTAAAAGTCAAAATCTGAATTTTACTTTCAAAAATTGCCAACTTTTGAATTACTAACTCCTGTTTAATTCCACAACCCAGTATTACAACTTAATGTAAAGTTATATATACCTGGAATTCACAAATTTAGAATACAGAAATTTTTAAAGCTCTTCACCCCATGCAAGAATTGCCAAGGTTATTGCAGACCTTTTCTCTCACTAAGAGGAACTCTTCCTTACCTCCATCTTACTCATATTAAATTATATTCTCACTACAGGGAAGATTAATCACAGATGAGTTACCCTATAAACTCTCATTCCCTTCCTAACTACCAGTGTTCCTAACACTGTTTATTGTTTTTTAGTCACAAAGAACTATTCCTTATTTCCTCTTTAAAATATATTTCAAATATACTTTAAAAAGAAGTATATTAGACAAGCTTTTGGAAAGATGACAGAGTAGGAAACATGTGGAATTTGCCTTCTTACCTAGATAGTAATTGCACTGGCAGAATCTGCCTGATGTAATGATTTTGGAACTCTGGAGTCTAGTGAAGACTTGCAACTTCCAGAGGTTAGGCTTAGATAGCAAATAGTAGTTAATTTTTGTCAATTTAGTTCTGAGAATAGTAGCAGTTATACACCAACCTACTCCTAGCCCTGTGATAGACAGCCCTGAATGTATTTTAGGAGCAATTTGTAGGAGCCAGGGTGACCAGAGATTCTGTCCTCTAAATATCAAGTATTTGTGCTCTGATCACTGATTGCTACTTCTGATTACAGAAGTGCAGACCAAAAGGCAGACAGCCATTGCAGTAACTCCTCCACTGTTAAAAGGTTTTCCTCTTCCAGCTGAAGTGAGATCCAGGAGATTCAAAGGTCTAGCAGCTCTTATTTCTTCATTTTTCTCTTTTTACCCTTTTAGGAGCCCAACATAAAGACTAAGATATTCAAAAGCAATCACATATATGGAGAAAATTAGGAAGTCACTGTGTATGCCCAGGGGAAGGCACAGGCTCAGTAAAAAAATGAGAAGACCTTACATCTCAGACTGATACAGGGGATAAAACAAAAATGATAAAATATCAATGAAACAAAAAACAAAAACCCTGGGAAAGGTAGAAGAATATGATTTCCAGAGCCACACAATTTTAGGTTCAAATGTCATTGTGAACAACAACAAAAACATACACAAGGCATACAAAGAAACAGGAAAGCATGGCCTATTCAAAGGAAAATACCACAACCACAACAACAGATTCCCTGAAAAAGGGCTAATGATGAATCTACTAGACAAAGATTTGAATAAAACTGTTCTTAAAATGGTTCATGAAGTAAAGGAAGACATGGAAATTTTTAAGAAAATGATAAATGAAATAAAAATAGAAATGTGGATATCAATAGAAATATAGATGTATCAAAATAGAGTATCAATAGACAGAAAACCTAAGAAGAAACCAAATGAAAATATGGAGCTGAAAAATATAAAAAATTAAAAGTAAAATTTCACTACAGGGATTCAAAGGCAGATTTGATCAGTAAGAAAGAATCAGTGAACTTTAAGATATGAAATGAAAAACATAGTCTAAGGAACAGAAAACAGGAAGAGTATAGATTGAAGAAAATTAAACAAAACCTAAGGGACCTGTGGGACACCATTATTAGTCAAATATATACATTATACAGTTCCACAGAAGAGAGAAAAATAATATTTGATAAAGTAATGGCTGAAAACTTCCTAAATTTGATTAAAGACATGAATATAACCATTGAAGAAGCTCAACAAACTTCATAGGATGAAGTCAAAGAGACCCATACCAAGACACATTATAATAAAACTGCCAAGTCACAGACAAAATAGAAGAACCATGCAAGTAGCAAGAGAAAAGTAATTTATCATATTGAAGGGATCTTTGGAATTTGTAACTCCACTTTTCATTTTCTATATGACTTAACAGAATACATCTAAAAGAAGAAATTATGAGTCTAAAAGCTAATATTGGGGTTAGCTCCATGGCCTGGTGGCTAACGTAGCTAGATCCCACATGGCCAACCATGCAGTTCAAATACTGGCCCTAGCAGCTTGAAGATCATGTTGGGCACATGGGTGTGCATGTCCCAAATCCCATCAGGTTGGAGAAATGGAGGTGAGGGAGGAGATTGTGGCATGACCATACCACAATGCTTTCCTCCCTCTCCCTATTTCTTTCTTCCTCTGGTGAGCGCACGTGTCCTCTGGCAAATTAACAAAGAAATAGTAGGCAAGGTGATGGTTTTATATGATTTCCTTGCTTAAAAACATAAATAAAAGATAGCATTATTGTACCTCTACATTTTTAAAGGTAATTTAAGAGACCAATGCATTAAAAATTATTTTATGTTTTTGGACACGCATTGTATAAATATGCAATTTTGTGACATCAAGAACTGAAAGGAGTGGTGATGAAGGTATTAAAGGAGCAAAATTTTTATATTATTGAAGTTAAGCTGGTATAAAAATTCAAACTAGAATGTTATACAAATGCTAGATGTAATCCTCATGATAACCACGAAGGAAATAGCCATAGAATATACACAATAGGAAATGAAAATAGAATTTAAATGTCTACTACCAAAAAAATTTTTCAACTGAATACAAAAAATGGCTATATAACAAATGAAAGACAAAATAGCTTAGGAAATGAAAAACAAAATAGCTATAAGGAATATATAAAAAAAAAAAGAGAACAAAATGACAGAAATAAATTTCTCCTTATCAGTGTCTTCTTTAAATGTAAATGAATAAAACCCAAATTCACAAAGATATGATACAATCAAAAGGAACGTAGCAGATAATTAGTACCTGGAAGTGGGGTGCTGCTATACCAGATACCTAGAAATATGGGACTGGCATTGTAAATAACATTTGGCAGAAGCTGAAAGAATTTCAAGAAACATGACAGAAAAAGCCAACACTGCCTCGAACAGACTGTTAGTAGAAATATGGTTGTTAATACTTCACTGGTGAGGACTCAGAAGGAAATGAGATGTTTGGCAGAGAAAATGCAAATTGCCTTAAGAGAATACCTAAATCATTCTGAACAGACTATTAGTAGAACTATGGATAAAGCATTTTTTTTTCTTCTCTCTCTCTCTCTCTCTCTTTTTTTTTTTTTTTTGGGGGGTTTTTTTTTTTGGGGTTGGGTTC